TCTTCTGAGGAGATGGTTTATCACTTTCCACTCTCGCAGGATCCCTTGACTCCACCCCATAAAGCGTGAAAAATCATAGCAGGCTTTATAAAGTCTTCAGGTCTCGGCAAGAAATAGCAATAAGAAATATCTTCCCATGCATGGCCTGGTAAACGAGAATAGTGGCCTGATCTGCGGTCTATGAACAGTGTTGGGCAACCCGGATAAAATGCCCAAGTGTTTTCAGAGTTCAGAGGAATGAAAAGTTCCTCTCTTGATAAGTTGGAATCTCAGCAGGATCTCGAGAACTGGAGCATCTGCATCACCTTCTGTGCTTTCATTCCTTGCTTTTGTTCTCAGGTAGACTTCCTCAAGCTCTACACTCTCCTCTGGAACACCTCCCACTCCTCTGGCATTCTTCACTCATCCTTCAGGGTCGGTTTTCTCAAAAATTCCAGGCAGGGCTGGGCACCTTACACACGCCCATTATCCCTGCAATCGACTTTTCTAGATTTATTTGCATATTTATCTATCTTGCCCACAAGACTGAGCCCAGGAGGGCAGCAAGTGACTCTTATCCATTTCTATATCCCCAGCACCTAGCACAGAGTCAGTGTGTGAAACAAAGGATAGATGGATGAATAAACAGATCTGTGAAGGAGTGAACAGCACGCCCCTGCCACCCCCATGCCTGATCTGACAGACATCAGCATGTTGGTGAGACGAGCCGCACAGGGCCTCCCCCAGAGCCATACCCAGGCCAGCTGCCGGCCCTGCGCAGCTGTGTGCTGAGGTCACCCAGTGCCCCCCACCCCAGCCGCTTCGCCGTTACTGCCACAGACGCCGCCTGCCTGCTGCTCCTTCCCTCTGCTGCTCCCTGGAGCTCCAAGAGCACACAGTAGGAAGACACTGATCAGGGGACTTCAGAGGCAAGAAAGTCACTGGCAGATGCCATCTGTGCCCCTGGCAGGGTCTGGGAAACCTGACTCTTCTCCACGATGCTGTCATTACCACAGTGAGGACCAGAAGGAGAAACTACTTGACTCAACCTTCCTTCAACAGCAGGATAAACAAAACTGAATTTCATGCCCAGAAATGCATTGTCCGTGAGCCTGAACAGCTAGTTTTGCTCTGCTTCCTCCCACCGGAATTAGATTCCTAAGAAGTCCGATAACATCTCCGGACGGTCGCTCCAAGTTCAGCTTGTCCCAAACACATTTCAGAAACTGGGAAGAAAGCTCAGAGGAAGACGGCCTGAGCAGCTGCTTTTGTTCCTGCTCCGAAGCAAGGAAGACAAACCTCTGAGGAAAACTAGGCCCAAGCACAGCTGTGGCCCTCACCGAATCATTACACTTGCCACAAACAAGATAAAAATTTCAAACAACAAAGAGGTCTTTTCCGTGGTCGGCTGAACAGACTTTCTCATCGTGTTTTGGTTCCTGCTGGGGGCCTGGCATCGCCTCAGCGTTTCCTCCCATCAGGCTGCCAGTGTCAGACTTCCCTGAAGACCCTCCCACCGCTCTGAGCTCTCCCAAACGGGGCAGAGTTGTTTTGTTGTTGTTGTTTTAAATGTAGGTGAATCTGGAAAGGGTTTTGATTGATTGTTTTATGAGCACCAGTTTGACCTTCTGTTATCCACTTCTCAAAGATACAGGTCTTTTCTCTGAGGAACACAAAGGCCCACATAAGAAAATAGAGAAATAGCCCAAAGGCACAGCTGGGAGAAGAAGTCACTTAACCGATTGTTCTTGCATGTTCACCCCATTTAGATTGACCAGTTCACCACGCCTTCCAGACGTGCAGTAGAAATGGGCCACTAGTCCCCAGTCACACAGGTTTTTAGCCCATGGATGTCTTATCTCTCACCCTAGGCCATAGATTTCTTCCTGTGCCCTTTTGTACCTGCTAGGTGCATAATAAATATTGATTGATAGAAAGCCTAAAGCCAAATTAAAGCCAAGAGCATTTTTATAAAAATATAAACCATTTAGCCCCTCATGTCATGGGTGACCCTGTAAGAAAACCAAGGGCAAGCTGATTCTGGAAGTGCAAGCTGCATCTCAGTGGTATTTAACAGATACCAGGACTGTCTGACTTGCAAAGCTCTGCTCTCCATCTCTTTGGAGTTTCTAGCATTTCAGCGAATGCCCCACGGAAGTTTCACTTACCAAGCTTAGTAACAGGGACCTAAGGGATCAGGACACTGTGTCAACACACTGCAGGGCTCAGAGCAGAGAGAAGCTCACCAGCATGCTAGAGTGGTGAGTACTTTCCCTGGCAGAGCTACATGGGCTGCCCTGGCTACCCCTCGTTCCTAAAATCCTGCCCTGGCCTCCTAACCGTTTCCAGCTCTTCTCACTTCTGTCTGCCTTGGGTGGGTATCAGTCTAAAGCTTACTTTGTCTCCTGCATCTAAGGAGGCTTGAGCTGGGAGCATGGCTCAAAACAGTGATTCTGAAGATGTGTGTGACTGCTGACCCTCACCACAATAGTGCCCATAGCTTATATCTCTGGATCAATTCCAACTTTCTTTACATACATATAAAAGTTAGACTGGACCTCAGAATCCTTCTCAACACAGCATTCTGGGCAGCCACTATCAATCAATCAGCATTGCCCTGAGATTGAGCCTGAAATTTGTCATTATTGGCATAGCAAGTTATCAATAGAATTTCATTTCCATTTCCTTCTATTCTTCCTGCCTGCCTTCCCCAGGGTTTCCAAAAAGGACAGTGGGATGGGTGGATGGGTGGGTAGAAAAAGGGACCTCAATTTCTCATCCTACAGGGAGTCCTGGTTGGCACTACTCTGCTTCTGCTGACTACACTCAATGCTGATGCTTCCTTGACAAAACTTGCTCTTAGCACGAGGTATTTTTTAATAGGCCCTGGTGAGATTCCTGGGTCATTCTGAGGCCATGGAGGATCCTCAGCATAAGCACTCTGTTTCTTACTCAGTCTCATTTCCTCCCCTTCTAACATATGCCTGAGCTTAAAAACATCCATTCACTCCATACTTCCTTCTTCTTTTTAAAGCTTATGCTGACAAGATAAATTTCTCCTCCCACTAACCTTTTTTTTTTCATATACAGGGAAAAAAATACAGCTCCACTGTGGAGTGTGTAGTAATGGGCAATGATTTGAAATTCTCCTGTGTTCTTGGAGCCATCAGCACCTTTAACCTGTAACACTGGCTGTCCTGAGGTTCTGAGTCACCCCATGATTCAGCTACGGGTGTGGAAGCACATTTTTCCAAGGCCCTTTCAGAAGCCCTGGCTTTTGGTTTTGAACCACTCCAGTTGTGGTGATATCAAGATATTTTTCCCTTAATAAAATATCACTCAATGTTCAAGAGGAAGAAAATGTTAAGAAATTCATATTCAAGAGAGTTTAAGGGGGAATAAAATAGGTCTTACAAAGCAACATTTTTGAGATTTGAGTACAAGTAAATCAGAAGCATATGGATTGCGTGCTGTTAAAGCATGCTTTTGTTTCCCAGGAAGGAATACTTGGAAAAAATATATTATATAAAATGGCATATATTTGAAAATACATGGAGATTTTTAAGAAAACCAAAATGTTGCAAGGATGGTCCAGCTCTAGTTATTAATAATCTAGGACCATCTGGGGAGTAAAATTAGGTGGCAAAATGATTGTACCATTTATTATTCCAAGAAGGAAATGACATATTTCACATATTTCTAAAATAGAAAAATGCTATCCTGCAGTCTATAGATTAGTTTTGTTTCACTGTCTTTGTTTTGATATTACTTATAATCATTCTTTTCACTGAACTCACAGTCTGTGAAAGGTAAAAGTGCAGAGGTGAAACAGGGCCCTGGAGTCGGACCGTGGACTTGAATGATGGCTCTGCCCCACCAGCTGTGGGATCTCGTAGGTGAGTTCATTCCCCTCTCTGTGCCCTGGTCTCCTCATCTGGGAAGTGAGAACAGTAATAATCACTATACTTACCATCTGGGTAAAGCACTGGAATAAGTGCCTCATGTACAGGAAATTCTTGGTCAATGTTAGTGGTGTTATTTGTCATTTTGCTGGGAATGCTCTGCCACCAGGTAACTGTGGCTCAGTTGCTCCAAAACTCGACAAACCTTTAGCTAGACTGACAAAGGAAAAAATAACATGAGGTGAAATGGAATGAAATGAAATGAAAGTGGGGATATGACAACCTATCTTAAAGAAATGAAAAGGATTAGAATATTATGAACAATTGTACACCAACAAATCAGATGACCTAGATGAAACAGTACATTCTTAGAAACATACAAATTACCTAAACTGACTCAAGAAGAAATAGAAAACCAGACCCATTACAAGTAAAGAGATTGAATTAGTAATCAACCCCCACCCCCATCATAGAAAAAGTCCAGGAACATATACTCTTATGGGTGAATTCTCCTACATATTTAAAGAACATTAACACCAATCCTTCTCAAACTCTTCAAAAAACTAGAAGAGGAGGGAATGCTTCCTCATTGTATGAAGCCAGTATTACTCTACCAAAATTAGTCACTCCTTTCTTTCTGGACTCTGCCCTCCCTGACCCTTCTCCATTACTATACATTACCTCCCCCCACACTTACTCCCTCTCCCCAACTTACTTTCTTCATAGCATGTATCACCACCTGATACATTATATGCTTATTCATTCATTTATTTATTGACTCTCTTCTACCACTAGAATGTAAACTCCATCAGAGAAGGTAATATTTTTTTCACTGTTGGAATCTCCATGCCTAGAATAATGCCTAGCACATGATATATGCTTATAAAAATTTGAATGAATAAACAAATTGTCTAATCATTCTTTCACTGAAAGAGGGTAGAGAAAAAACTAAAGAGGACCTAGGTATTGCAGAACTCCAAGATATAGCTGACCAGAACAAAACAAGCCTTTAGCAGCAGATAAACCAAGAACATGTTGTGTCAGGAAAACTAAGGGAAGTGAGAGTTCTGAAGAGCAGGGACTGGGTAACAGTGCCAACTAAGGCTGAGACATCAAATACGAGAACAACAAAGTCCACTGGACTGAACCGTGCAAGTGCATTGGCCACCTGAGCGAGAGTCACTGCAGGCATCGTAAGGCTAGAAGTCAGAAGCCCAGCTGCTCCGAGGGGTGGGTGAGCAGAGGCAGTGTATTCTGACAACACTTTGATTTAAAGAAATTTTTCTATAAAAAAGGAAGGTTTCTATAAAAAAAAGAAGGTTCTATAAAAAAAGAGATAGGGAGGTTGCTGGAAAGGGTGGGGGCCAAGTGAGGATATTGTTTTTTGGTAGGAAAGATCTGTTGATGTCTAAAAAGCCTATGCAAGGATCCCAGTCGAGAAAAGAGAAGCTGAGTATAAAGGAGAGGGCAAGGTTCCCAGAAGTAGAGCAATGGGAGGCAGACCACAGGACCAGCGTTAGCAAGGAGAGCAACCTCTCCTACACCCTCAGCCTGCAGGCAGGGACTACAGAGAGACGAGACGCAGAGCACCCACCAGCCCCAACCAGGACCCAGGTCTCCTGACACCCAGGCCAGTGCTGTTTTTACATGGGGTTTTTTTTTTTCTTTTGCTCAAATTAGAAGGCTCAAGGAGCAGTGAGGAGTGGGGCGAGACGACAGGAACCAAAGCTGGTAAGTGGACAAGGCCTACTACCGTAGACTCTGTCATCTTTGTCATTTCAGACTGCTGGCAGGGAGGTACCTCTTCCCACTGGTGTGTGCAGGGGGGAGTCCCTTCCCTGTGGTGTGAGCTGTATTAGCATAACGGCCCCCTGCAGCCGCCCCAGCACAGCGGAGGGCCTCACCTGATTGGTGAGTCTGTGAGGAGAGCCTGAGCCTGCGCAGCCCAGCCCCTTCCGTCTCCTCTTCCTTTTAGGAAAGAGCAGAGAGAACATGCTCTAGATGGCCTTCACACACGTGGGAATCAGAGCAGTGAAGCTGTGCCCCACACCCGCCCTGTGTGGAGGCCAGTGTGCTCAGACTCTGTCTGCGGCCAGATACGCGGGTCCGGCTAATGCTCGGGGCTAAGAATCAGGAAGTCCAGCTGCCCACAGATCAGATTCCACTTCCTCCAGTGCCAGCTTTATCAGTAGGAAAGATAGTGTTTCATTTCCAACTGCCTCTTTCCTTGCTTTTTTTTTTTTAGCAGTGGGTTCAGAAGGGAGCTAGTTACTCCAACAGGAATTACACTATTAAAATTGACATATGAAATCTGATTCTTAAAATCACCTTTTAAGATATAAAAGAGAAGAACACTCATATTGTAGAATATGAGAGCCTGATTCCTCTCATGGATGTGTAAAACCCAAGGATCTGCTCTCTTAATTTTCTCAGATCAAAGGACAAAATCACAGTTGATAGTTTCTTCAGCTCTTTCCAGGATTCCGCTGTTTTTTGTCTGGAAACAGCCACTGCCACATCTACAATTTTAGATTTAAAGAAATGACCCAGAATCATCACAGTGTGTGAAGAGGCTATACAGCAATAACCGTTCTGCAAGGGCAGAGAGAAACCTGCCAATGTACATTCTTCGTTGATGAGAAAAATGCATCAGCAATTGTAAAATTAGGTGTTGGCACCATACTTAGCCATGGATCCAGTCCTCTACTCACTTCTCTCCAACTTTTTCAGTGCCAAATAGTTGATCTGAATAATCATTTCAGAAATAGTCACTCTCACCTTCTTGCATTACTTCAGTCTCAGTATTTCAAACTGAAAAATATTAGCCTTGACTGTACAACTTCCCTCTACTGCTCCTAAATTGCTATTTGGAAATTTACCAAATAATCTTCAAGCCTATCAGTGAAGACACAGATTATCAGCACAATCTCTTCTGCAATTTTGCTTGCAGTTTAAGAAACAGAGGGGTTGGAGATTATCCAAAGGCTTTATGGCACATCAGTATCCGTGGGAGGTTTGAAGTCTAGGGTGGAAATGTGGGCAGGGATAAGAGAGCTGGTGAAAACGAGGCTGAAGGAGACGCTGCAAAACAGAGCAGGAGCCAGTGGCCTGCACACTCCCCCAGCCCTGCGGGGAACAGCCTCCGTCTCACATCTTTGCAGGGCTTGGTCAGACACAAAGCTGCCAGAGAGATGAGCTGGCCCCTTTGGTTTCAAGGGACAGGAACATCCCTCCACAACTACCACTCCTCCAAAAACAACTCCTGGTGGGAAGCTCCCTAAGAGGAAGATAGAGTGCGATTAGAATGGCAGGGCTGGGTGCTAGGGGGCAATGCTGGGCAAGTGCCCCCCATTTCTGGGCCCTACAGGGAAATCTTGTGAGCATCAATTCAGTGGTGTGATTCACCTCTCACAATTTACTGTAGGGGGATCCTGAGAGTGCTCATTCATCCAAAGTCATTCACTACATACAACTGAGCCCTTCTGGGTAGAGATGTATCAGTGAATAAAACAGATGCAGGTCCTGCCTTCCTGGAGCTCAAACTTCCTTAGATTATCCACCTGGACACACAGGCCACTGAGCTCACCCATGTAAGATTGTTATGGGCCCGTTAGGAGCCCATAGTCTGTAGCATTATCCTGGCCAAACCTCAGCCCTGGTCTGACAGGAAGTCTATGCTGCAAGGACAGTACCAGCTCAGACTCAGGATCCTGAGGACTGATAGCTCAGAGTTCAACTCATCTGCGGGTTAAAAAGTGTGCTTGGTGTGGACACAGGGAAATGCAGAATGCAATCATGTTACAGAGAGTCATTCATCATCAGCTGGTGACCCTGAGGGGTCAGCAGACGCAGCACAGCTTGTTGGAAACTTTATACTGAGTGATATTGGCACATTCTAGTTCAAGTAAACATTCCCATTTCAGCAGATTTGCTTGTAAGACACAATAATTTTACATTCAAAGAATGAGCTGAGCTACCTATAGTGTGTACTGTTGTGTCTAGGTGTGTTGACTAGCAAGCATGAGGAAGAGTTCACTTCTCTCCCCTTCTTTATCATGGTACATCTGGGCATCCGTGGTAGTCAGTGTTATAGAAAAATCGCAAGCCTTGGGAACTGCTGGGTCTGACACTCTCAAATTATGTATCTGTGTGTGTGGTCTCAGGGAAGTTACTTAACCTCTCTCAGGTCTGTTTCCTCATCTATAATATTAGAATAACAGTATCTACCATTTATCATGCACATTCCATGTGCCAGACACTATGCTGGAAAGTGTAAGTATATTATATAACTTAATTTGTCCCCAAATTCATTGCGGTTTTATTTATACAGATTCTACAAATGGAGATTCAGACATAGAACAGCTTCGCCCAAGGTCACGAAGCTGACAAGTATAGAAGGGGCAGGATTTTAACCCATATGTGTCTGACCCAAACCCCAGGCCCATACTCTGCAACATCTCATTCAACTACCTGCCTGCAGGGAGGGTTTCTGGCAGGACAGTTTCAGCAGCAATGATGAGAAAACCAAAAATTCTCCCTCATGATCATCAGGGACTGCAGCTCCTTCTTCCGCCTTACTCTTCTCAACACATGGCTTCTAGCTCGTGGTCTGTTCATGTCTGGCCATCACGTCCACGTTTCAGTCAGCATAGAAAGGAAGAGACAGTAAAGGGCATATTCCTTTGTTAAGGATGCTTCCTAAAAATTGCATGCGACACTTGTGCTTACCTCCCACTGACTGCATAGGCACACGTAGCTATGAGGGAGGCCGAGCTAAGCTCTTCTCGCAGGGGGTCACGAACCTAATTGTAAAACGTGGGATATTATTAAGGAAGAAGGGAATGGGGAACATGGGACAATCTCCAGCATACAAGGTTATGGAAATCAGGAGCAGTAATATATGTGAAGCACTTGGTTCACTGCCTAGCACATAGTAGGTACCAAGAAAATAACACTATTTGTTGTAATTACTGATCTAATGCTGGCAGCTTGCAGAATACATGCAGAAAATCATAAATTCAAATCAGGCAAGGGAAGGTCACAGAAAAAGGATGGCAGAAGGAGCCACTTTTTCAGTCACCATGATATTGTGTATTGGCTCTCTTTTTTTTCACTCACACAAAAGCGCCACCTTTGCTCATCTGCAGCATCCCCAGTATTATGTGGAAAGTGATAATGAGCAGACACTTCAGCAGCCATCCCTGGCGGAAGTGGCACACGCCACATGACCCACGGGGAGATGCTATCACGGTGACTGCTGCTAAGTACTTTCTACTGCAGCAGTTAATGGAAATGCAGTTTTCATTACAGTAAGAAAATTGAAATCTCAGCCAGCCCCTGTGGGTTCCACCTGACCCACCCTTCATTTCTCATAAGATCGTGTGTTGTTTTCATTCCCCTGGTGATTAACCTTTATCATGAAGGGGAGCAGAAGTGGGGTAATTGAAATTCCCAGGAAATCTCCACATCATACTGCCATTTAACAAACTTCCTCAACAATCCCAATACCAGGGCTCTGAACAAGTAGGAAAGGACCATTTTTAATTCTAGGTGGAGATATTATCTAGTAGGGCAGATTGCAGATGGCCAGCCTGGGTTGAAGTGACAGACACGCAGCCAGGATGGAAGGGGAAAGAGAGGGAAGTGGTAGCATCAAGGGGCCCAGTCATTGAGAAGTTCTCAGATGTACGGGGCGACTTCCCTTGGGTGGGGTGCATGTGGGGCGTCAGCCTTGTGAGTGCTTCTCAACACAAAGTAAACTTTCCACTTAGTTTGGCTTTTGCTCTTTGAGTTGCAAATGATTTGTGGCTGCACAAGTTTTCCCATTGTTACAGGGAAGGTACCTGAACACATGCAGAATTGCTCCCTCAGATGCCCCTTTCCTCTGAATCCTGGGTCACTGTCCCTCAGCTCCTGATCTCTCAAAGACCTCAACTCCTTTCCTGTCACTGCTGGCTTGCAGCTGCTATTGCTATACCCCAACTCTGTTGAGCACTTTGCAGAATACATGCAGAAAATCATAAATTCTATTGAGTGAGCAAGGAGCTAATAGGTTTGTAGCAAAGAAAACATTTGCTTAGCCATACAAGTTAAGGTTTTCAATTTTGCCATGTTATTGAGAAAGCAAAAGATGACTAGGTATCTTCCATTTGGCAGAGGCCCACCCACCCTGCTTACACTTCCGGTTGTGTCTCTTCCCTGTGTTTTTCTGTCACTGCTCATCAGATAACCAGATAAGTTCTGGCTGCCATTTTTCTTAGCCCAGAACTGATACTGTATCAACCATGTATAAGTCATTTCCAGAAAGGGCATGGTCAAATCAGGAAGGAGAAAAAGGTTGACTTTAGCAGACAGCCACAGTCAAAGGCTTGCCACAACCTTCTGCACCCTGGCCCACTCCAGCAATGACCAGTTTGACACGGGTGGCCCACCTAAGCCATCCTGGAGGCCAAATGCCTTTTCTTTCTGATTGCTCAAGATGTTCACAGGATACTGCCATATCCTTCGATTATTCATTCGCACATCCTCCAATTCTTCTTGCCCAATCTCTCTCTTTTGCCATGACTGAGAAGAGTTCAAGGGCAATGGAACTAAATTCATGTGTTAGTCTCTTGGAGGGCACAGTATCCCAACTTGCAGGGAAGCTGGGATTCCAGATGGGGGACCATCTCTCTGGTCAGTCAGTAGGGTTCAAGTCCCCTCTTCAAGTCTGGATGCTTCCTGGTCCCCAC